CGAGGGACTCGTTATTATCGAGGAGAGGTGTGAAACTGGCCGCCCTCCTCTCCCCTCGCGCCTGCCGATTATTTGCATTTCCATTAGCGCGACGAACGTGCGGTGCACGCGCAAGGAGCGAGGAGGAAACTCAGCCGCGCGCCATTAAACTAATGATACAGCCCTGCCTGTCGCGACGAGCATGGCTTGGCACGTGGGTGGCGGAAAACTCGAACCGAGTCTCCGTAAGTACAGGTTGCTACCGTAATACGTCGATCGCGATCGATAGCCCCGCTTATCGGCGTTTTCCCCTCGTCGGATCGTTTATTTCGATAGAAAGCGTTGAACCACTCGCGCTCAAATCGAGACTCGTCCTTTCATTTTCTAGCACTCGAATCGCGAGCTTTGATTTCTTGACGTTGAAAACGCGGCATTTTCTTTTAAAATTTACCCTGAAAATCATGTAGTCGTGGGACAACTTGGCACGATTTGCTCAAAGATTGAGACAAAACCGTACTGGTTCGTACACGCCGTGGACATCAGCTGCAATATGTTGGGATGCCGAATTTTACTAAGGATGGCCACGTCCGCCCGTATCGCGTCGCGACACATCGATAAGAGGTGTCGCTTCAGCGTCACCCTCGTGTTGTGCCATTTCGCGGGAACCAGCTCGAGACACTTGTTCTCCGTGCCCGCGACACACCCGAACCCGTATATATTGTTGGTACGTGTATGCGGCACGTTTGGTAAAAACCGCGCGGGTCTCCGCGGTCTTCGAACAGTCCTCGCTTCGGCGTTCTGCTGCTTGTACAGGTAGGCAATCCAGCCCGAATCGGCGACGTCCACGTCAAGCGTCTGATAGTGGTTCACGAAGATAGGCCGGTTTGGCGCAAATGAGTTGAGTTTTGCGGCGTTTTAAAGATTCTTTTTTGTAATATTTTATTTATTTTTTTTATTACATTTTTTTACATTTAATAATCTGGTTATTACATTTTTTTCCTCCTCTTCTTTTGGTCTGCGTGGCTGCTTCCATTTGGCGTCTCTCGGTCTGAGTAGCGGCCTCTTTCCTCGGATTTGCCGGTAATGGAGAGAGAAGGTCTGGAAAGTCCAGGAAATCTTCAATACCCTCGAGGATCTCTGGCGTTCCTGGACGAGTCCTCTTAGTCGGCAAGGAAGTGTCTTCTTCTAGTAGAACGTAGGGTTCCTGGCGGCCAGCGCCCTGCGGGGTCGGTATTTGGCGACTAGCGCCTGGAGGCGGCGGAGCGCCTGTTGCTTGGCGACTAGCGCCTGGTGTTTGGCGTCTAGCGCCTGGAGGCGGCGGAGCGCCCGATGCTTGGCGACTAGCGCCTTTAGGCGGCGAAGCGCCCGATACTTGGCGACTAGCGCCTTTAGGCGGCGAAGCGCCCGATGCTTGGCGACTAGCGCCTTTAGGTGGCGAAGCACCCGATGCTTGGCGACTAGCGCCTTCAGGCGACGAAGCGCCCGATGCTTGGCGACTAGCGCCTTTAGGTGGTGAAGCACCCGATGCTTGGCGACTAGCGCCTTCAGGCGACGAAGCGCCTGATGCTTGGCGACTAGCGTCTTTAGGC